TCTCTACTAAAAATACAAAAAATTAGTTGAACATGGTGGCACGTGCCTGTAATCCCAGCTACTCAGGAGGCTGAGGCAGGAGAATTAACTGAACCCAGGAGGCGGAGGTTGCGGTGAGCCGAGATCGCGCCATTGCACTCCAGCCTGGGTAACGAGAGCAAAACTCAGTCTCAAAAAAATATATATATAAATGAAAATGAAAGTTCTAGGTCTTTCCAGAATCACCACAATGTCTTTCACAATGGTTGAACTAGTTTACATTCCCTCCAACAGTGTGAAAGAATTCCTATTTCTCCACAGCCTCACCAGCATCTGTTGTTCCTTGACTTTTTAATAATTGCCACTCTGACGAGCAAGAGATGGGGTCTCATTGCGGTTTTGATTCGCATTTCTCTATGATCAGTAATGATGAGCTTTTTTTTTCCCACACATTTGTTGGCTGCATAAATGTCTTCTTTTGAAAGGTGTCTTTTCATGTCCTTTGCCCACTTTTTAATGAGGTTAAGTTCCTTGCAGATTCTGGATGTTAGACCTTTGTCAGATGGATAGTTTGCAAGAATTTTCTCCCATTCTGTAGGCTGTCTGTTCACTGTGATGATTGTTTCATTTGCTATTTGCTGTGCAGAAGCTTTTTAGTTTAATCAGATCCCGTTTGTCAACTTCACTTTTGTTGCAATTGCTTTTGGTGTTTCTGTCACAAAATCTTTGCCCATGCCTATGTCCTGAATGGTACTGCCTAGATTTTCTTCTACAGTTTTACAGTTTTGGGTTTTACATTTAAGTCTTTAATCCATTTTGAGTTAATTTTTTTATAAAGTGTAAGGAAGGGAGGCCGGGCGCGGTGGCTCAAGCCTGTAATCCCAGCACTTTGGGAGGCCGAGGCGGGTGGATCACAAGGTCGAGAGATCGAGACCAACCTGGTCAACATGGTGAAACCCCGTCTCTACTAAAAATACAAAAAAATTAGCTGGGCATGGTGGCACGTGCCTGTAATCCCAGCTACTCAGGAGGCTGAGGCAGGAGAATTGCCTGAACCCAGGAGGCGGAGGTTGCGGTGAGCCGATATCGCGCCATTGCACTCCAGCCTGGGTAACAAGAGCAAAACTCTGTCTCAAAAAAAAAAAAAAAAAAAAAAAAAAAGTGTAAGGAAGGGGTCCAGTTTCCATTTTCTGCATATGGCTAGCCGGTTCTCCCAGCACCACTTGTTAAATAGGGTATCCTTTCCCCATTGTTTTTGTCAGGTTTGTTAAAAATCAGATGGTTGTAGATGGGTGGTCTTATTTCTGATATCTCTATTCTGTTCCATTGGTGAATGTGTCTGTTTTTGTACCAGTACCATGCTGTTTTGGTTACTGTAGCCTTGTAGGATAGTTTAAAGTCAGGTAACGTGATACCTTCAGGTTTGTTCTTTTTATTTAGAACTGTCTTGGCTAGGCCGGGCACGGTGGCTCAAGCCTGTAATCCCAGCACTTTGGGAGGCCGAGGCGGGTGGATCACGAGGTCGAAAGATCGAGACCATCCTGGTCAACATGGTGAAACCCTGTCTCTACTAAAAATACAAAAAACTAGCTGGGCGTGGTGGTGCATGCCTGTAATCCCAGCTACTTAGGAGGCTGAGGCAGGAGAATTGCCTGAGCCCAGGAGGCGGAGGTTGCAGTGAGCCGAGAACGCGCCATTGCACTCCAGCCTGGGTAACAAGAGCGAAACTCCGCCTCAAAAAAAAAAAAAAAAAAGAACTGTCTTGGCTATACAGGTTCTTTTTTGGTTTCACGTGAATTTCATAGTTTTTTATAATTCCGTGAAGAATGTCAGCGGAAGTTTAATGGAAAGAGCATTGAATCTATAAACTACTTTGGGCACTATGGCCATTTTCACAATACTGATTCTTCCTATCCATAAACATGGACTATTTTTTCTATTTGTTTCTGTCCTCTCTGATTTCCTTGTACCATGGATTGTAGTTCTCCTTGAAGAGGTCTTTCACCTCCCTTGTTAGCTGTATTCCTAGGTATTTTACTCTCTTTGTAACAATTGTGAATGTGAGTTCATTCATAATTTGGCTCTCTCCTTGCCTACTATTAGTGTATGTAATGATTATGATTTTTACACATCGATTTTATATCCTGAAATTGTGCTACAGTTGCTTATCAGCTTAAAAAGCTTTTGGCCTGAGACAATGAGGTTTTCTAGATATAGGATCATGTCATCTGCAAACAGGGACAGTTTGACTTCCTCTCCATTTGTTTTTTCTTTTTTCTCTCTCTCTTCCTGTTTGAATATTAATTATTTCTTTCTCTTGCCTGACTTCCCTGGCCAGAACTTTCAACACTATGTTGAACAGGAGAGGTAAGAGATTCCTGAAAGACCTAGAGGAAGAAATACCATTTGACCCAGCAATCCCATTACTGGGTACGTACCCAGAGGCATCTAAATCATTCTAATATAAAGATACATGCACACATATGTTCAGTGAAGCACTATTCACAATCGCAAAGACATGGAATCAACCCAAATGCCCACCAATGGTAGACTGGATAAAGAAACTGTGGTACATATACATCATGAAATAGTACGCAGCCATAAAAAATGAACAAGATCATATCGTTTGCAGGAACATGGATGGAGCTGAAAGCCATTATGCTCAGCAAACTAACACAAGAACAGAAAGCCAAAACCTGTGCCTTCCAGGTTCAAGCAATTCTTCTGCTTCAGCCTCCTGAGTAGGTGAGATTACAGGCATGTGCCACCATGCCCAGCTAAAACATTAAGTACACAAGAACACAGGTAGGGGAACAATGCACACTGGGGTTTGTTGGGGGACCAGAGGGAGGGAAAGCATCAGGATAAATAGCTAATGCATGTGGAGCTTAATACTTAGGTGATGGGTTCACAGATGCAGCAAACTACCATGGCACACATTTATCTATGTAACAAACCTGCACATCCTGCACAGGTATCCTGGAACTTAAAATAAAATTAAATTTAAAAAAGAAAAGAAAAGACTTTGAGAGGCCAAGGCAGAGGCAGGTGGATCGCTTGAATATGAGATGTCGAGGCCGCAGTGAGCTGAGATCACACCAGTGACTGCACTCCAGCCCGGGCGACAGAGTGAGACCCTGTCTCAAAAGAAAGAAGCAAAGAAAGAAAGAGAGAGAGAAGGAGAAAATGAAATGAGGCCAAGGTGAGAGGAGTGCTTGAGCCAAGCAGTTCAAGACCAGCCTGGACAACAAAGCAAGACCCCTACTCTTAAAAAAAAAAAAGAAAGAAAGAAAAAGAAATAAAGAGCTTCAATATCATGTTGAAAAATAGTAAGTATGTGTGCCAGGCATGGAAGCTCATGCCTGTAATCCCAGCACTTTGGGAGACTGAGGCAGGCAGATCACTAAGTCAAGAGTTCAAGACTGACCTGGTCAACATGGTGAAACCCCATCTCTACTAAAAATGCAAAAATTAGCCAGGGGTGGTGGCGGTCACCTGTAATCCAAGCTACTCTGGAGGCGGAGGCAGGAGAATCACTTGAAACCGGAAGGCGGAGGTTGTAGTGAGCCAAGACCACGCCACTGCACTCCAGCCTGGGCAATAAGAGTAAAACTCCGTCTCAAAAAGAAAAAAAAAAAAATGTGAGCAGGGAGCTGGTGGCAGAAAAGAGATACCAACCTTTCCTTGCCTGTGTACCCAGTATGACACACAAAAAAATGATAATAATTGTCTCTGGGGAGGAGGTCAGAGGTAGGAAGGAAATTTGATTTTCATTGTATATCCTTTTGAACTTTTTAAATGTTTACCATGTTGTGTGCTTTTTTTAAAAAAGGTAAATTAAAACACAATTTCAAAATAAAGTAATGTAGCTAATAGAAAAGAAAGTATTTTCACTGATTTGTAAATGGGTTCATAAACAACTACATTAATAAAAACACAGTCACTCCTAGGGGTAAGGGCTATCATTGAGAGCAACACAAAAGGGAAAGGGGACCATGACTGTTAAAAACATTTTGGTGGGGAGGAGGTCTTGCTATGTTGACCAGGCTGGTCTTGAAAAGCCCCTGGCTCAAGTAATTCTCCTATGTCAGCTTCCCAAGTATCTGGGACTAGAGGCATGAGTCACCATGCCCGGCTTGATTATCGCACTTTATCCCAATGTTACAATGCTAGGGTTTTCATTAGCAAAAGCAGACGTGGCCCTTATTGGCCAAGTCTTAAAAATTTTGAGCCAGAAGACACTAGAGAAACTACGTCATTCGATTCCTTCATGATGAAATAACATTCCTTCATGAGAAAACCAAAGTCCAGTTAGGCCAAACTGAATAAATGTCCAGAGGCTCATAATTAATGGCACCACCAAACTGGAATTCAGATTCCTTCAATCCCAGGAACTACCTCCTTGATTATCCCAGATTACATCCTTCAGGTATATAGTTGCAAATATCCTTGAGTCTTGTGGTAAACACAAAACTGCAATTTCGCCAGGCGTGGTGGCTCACGCCAATAATCCCAGCACTTTGGGAGGCCAAGGCAGGCGGATCACCTGAGGTGGGGCGTTTGACAGCAGCCTGACTAACATAGAAAAACCCCAAATCTACTAAAAATACAAAATTAGGCAGGCATAATGGTGCATGTCTGAAATCCCAGCTACTTGGGAGGCTGAGGCAGGAGAATCACTTGAACCTCGGAGGCAGAGGTGAGCCGAGATTGTGCCATTGCAGTCCAGCCTGGGAGATGAGAGCGAAACTTCGTCTCAAAAAAAAAAAAAATTGCAATTTCAAGTCCAAGCTACCAGTCACTAAAACTTCAAAGGTATTTTATTGCTTAGCTATTAGATAAGAGATTAAAATAAACTGCAAATAATCCCTACAAGTAGCACTGAGGTAAACAAGATATTAGAAATAAACTCTACAACTGTAATCCTTAAATATAAGAATAGCTTCCAAGTTCCCAGAAACCCCCTGATTTGCAATTTGTTTCCAGAAATCATGGCAGACAAACTCTGCAAGCTTACTTACCCAGAAAGCACTGCATGCTGCCCAAGACAGTCCACAGACATCGCAGTTGCCTGTGGGAAAGAACACAGATTCAGTGCTGCCAGCAAACCCAGCCAGGGAGAGAAGGCAGAGGTCTCCGTGGCTCTCCCTCTTCCTATCTCCCCAGAAGTCCCCAGCTTGAAAGTATCATTAGTTCTCTACAGTGGATGCTTTTGCTGACCCACTTCTAATTCACAACCAAATTTCGCATTTGCTTTTTTATATTTTTTTGTAGAGACAGTCTTGCTATATTGCCCAGGCTGGACTTGAACTCCTGATCTCACGTGATCCTCCCATCTCAGCCTCCCAAGTACACATTCGTTTTTGACAACAGGGCAGTTGCTATCTGTTACTCCCACACCAAGACTACACACCACCAAGCCGGCACATTCTAAACTGAAGAGACAAGCTGGGTGTGGGTGGTAGGTCACACCTGTAACCCTAGCACTTTGGGATGCTGAGATCATTTGAGGTCAGGAGTTCAAGACCAGCTTGGCCAACATGGTGAAACCCTATCTCTACTAAAAATACAAAAATTAGCCAGGCATTGTGGCTGGCACCTGCAATCCCAGCTACTGAGGAGGCTGGGACAGGAGAATCACTTGAACCCAGGAAGCAGAGGTTGCATGAACCCATATCGCACCACTGCACTCCAGCCTGGGCAACAGAGTGAGATTCTATCTCAAAAAAACAAATAAAAAATAAATTGAAGAGTCAGAAGTCCTGGAGCCCATGGGGAGACTGACTAGCTCAGAGAAAACAGCAGCTACTGTGCACAAAGAACCTCTTCCAAGTGAAACCTAACCCAGGAGGCCCCCACCCCCCCACACACACCCAAGACACTCATGACTTCCCAAAGGGCATGGACTGACTTCCCAAAGGGCATGGACTTCTCAAACCAAATGGCAGTTGGCAATATTCAAACACCATCCCTGATGAATCCAAGGTCATATGCTTGATGCTGACATGCCCAGGTCACATTTGCTCTGAAATTTCTAGCACATTTAACTGGTTTCTATTTCCCAGGACTCCCAATTCCTAGGGAGCACTATCATATCATTTCAGGATCCAAGGTCTAACTCCCAAGAGACTGCACTGAGTCCAAAGAATGTGCATTCAGTCTGAAGCACAAGGTTTATTTATTTATTTATTTTTTAATGGAGTCTCACTCCATTGCCCAGGCTGGAGTGCAATGGCACGATCTCAGCTCACGGCAACCTCCGCCTCCCAGGTTCAAGCAATTCTCCTGTCTCAGCCTCCCAAGTAGCTGGGACTACAGGTGCACATCACCAAGCCTGGCTAATTTTTGTATTTTTAGTAGAGACAGGGTTTCGCCTTGTTGGTCAGGCTGGTCTCGAACTCCTGACCTCAGGTGATCCACCCGCCTCATCCTCCTAAAGTGCTGGGATTACAGGTGTGAGCCTCCGTGCCCGGCCACAAGGCTTATTTTAATCCTGGCAGTTATTGCCCTGATTTTTTTTCTTTGGTCAAGTTCAAATCCTGCTGCATACTTATGGCAGTATCATGAAACAGTCTGTACCACTGTTTGGTCATTAAATGCTCTAAGTTCTCTCCAAGACAGTATCAACAAAGAATCCATTTTATACATTGTGTCACAATCACAAATGGTAAGCACATTCTTTCCCTCACCCTCGCTGGCCTTATTTAGTGGGTTTCTCAAGTTGTCCACCCTCAAGAAACAACATGGGTAATACTGGGGAAGCCGAAGTACTCTCGCCAGAGCCTGCAAAATGATTAATATGCACCCCTCAGTGCATCAGAGTCAGGAGCAGAAAGAAGACGGAAAGGAAGGCAGTGAAATGACATGCCATTTCCAGGACTCCTCTGTGCAATTTACAGACAGTAAGGAGGAGGGCAAGATGGTTCCTCTAACAAGATCTGTGTCATCTTTCTGGGGAGTCTGGGGCCCCCAAGATTCCAGGCACTTGGTATATACACACCTTTTCCCCCACTTTTTAGCACTCACTGAACACTAATCTAGGTACTATCGGGAAGGGATCTTACAGATATAATTAAGGTCCCAATCAGTTGACCTTAAGATAGAAAGATCTCGGCTGGATGCAGTGACTCATGCCTGTAATCCTGGAACTTTGGGAGGCCAAGGCAGATGGATCACCTGAGGTCAGGAGTTCGAGATCAGCCCAGCCAACATGGTGAAACCCCATTTCTACTAAAAATACAAAAATTAGCCAGGCATGGTGGCATGCACCTGTAATCCCAGCTGCTCAAAAGGCTGAGGTGGGAGGATTGCTTGAACCCAGGAGGCTAGAAGTTGCATGCAGTGAGCTGACATCTTGCCATGTACTCTGGCCTGGGTGACACAGAGAGATTTTGTCTCAAAAAAAAAAAAAAAAAGAAAGAAAGAAAGAAAAAGAAAAGAAAAAAAGGCAAATATAGTATCATAACTCACCCATATCAGGGGAAGTTATTTAAAAAAAGAAAAACCACCACCACAATACCACCTATATGATTTTCCCCACCACTACCCAAGAAAAAAAAGGCTACCACTGCATTTGCAGGAATACACTAAGGAAGGTTACACTACGCTGCCCCAAAGAAGGAATGGAGAAAGAAACACTGAGCAGAGGAAGTGAAGACAGCCTGACTAGACAAAGTTAGTGCTTTGTGGGATGAAAGGAGTCTGCAACCCAAGCCCTGTCCACCCTCAGCACACCAGATGGGGAATTCTAGACATCGGTTAAGAACCACGGGACTGTGGGATTTTGTATGATCCAGTGCAAGTGAGGAGGGGAAGCCCTGTGATGACTGAGACGGAATCTCCTGGCAGTCTAAAGAAAGGTGCCTGCTGCAGATTAAAGACAGGTTAGAGAAGTCAAGTGGCATTTTATGTCCTCTTCCAGACTAAAATTTAAATTGGCTACTTAAAAATATGTATATATTATATTATATAGTATATAACATAAAATATGTATGTTATATACATTATATATTATATCTTATATCTTATATACATATATTACATTATATATTGTATTATATATTATACATTTTATATTATATATTACACATATTTTATATATTACATACTATGTATTATATGTTATATATTACATATATTTATATATAACAGAGTTTCTCACTTGTTACCCGGGCTGGAGTGCAATGGCGCAATCTCAGCTCACTGCAACCTCCACCTCTCGGGTTCAAGTGATTCTCCTGCCTCAGCCTCCCAAGTAGCTGAGATTACAGGCATGCACCATCACAGCTAATTTTGTATTTTTAGTAGAGTCGGGGTTTCACCATGTTTGCCAGGATGCCTGTAATCCCAGCACTTTGGGAGGCTGAGACAGGCGGATCACTTGTGGCTAGCTCGACACCAGCCTGGCTAACATGGTGAAACCTCGTCTCCACTAAAAATACAAATATTAGCCATGTGTGGCGGCATACTTGTAATCCCAGCTACTTGGGAGGCTGAGGCAGAGGAATCCCTTGAACCTAGGAGGCAGAGGCTGCAGTGAGCCGAGGTCGTACCACTGCACTCCAGCCTAGGTGATAGAGTGAGATGAAAGAAAGAGAGAAAGAGAAGGAGAGAAAGAAAGAAAGAAGGAAAGAAAGGAAGGAAGGCAGGCAGGCGGGCAAGAAAGAGAGAAAGGAAGGAAGAAAGGAAGAAAGAAACACTGAAGAAAGTATATCAAAATGTTTACAAGTAATTGTTTCTAAATATGTTAATTTGCCTGATTTAACTATTCTTAAATAATTATATTCATAAATAATAACATTTTGTACCAAACAAAGACATATAAAGTCAATTTGCAATAAACTTTCATGCGTATGTGTGAGACCGTCACACAGGTTAGACTGCAGTGCCACGATCTCAGCTCACCACAGCCTCAAACACCCAGGTTGAAATGATCCTCCCACCTCAGCCTCCCGAGTGCACACCACCATGCCCAGCTACTTTTTGTGGAGTTTTGGGGAGTTTTCTTGACACAGGGTCTCACTCTGTTGCCCAGCCTGGAGTGCGGTAGCTCAAACTCAGTTCACTGCAACCTCCACCTCCTGGGTTCAAGTGATCCTCTCACCTCAGCCTTCCAAATGGGTGGGACCACAGGGACATGCAATCACACCCAACTAATTTTTTTGTATTTTTTAGTAGAGACAGGGTTTCACCATGTCGGCCAGGATGGTCTCAATCTCTTGACCTCCTGATCCTCCCGCCTCGGCCTCCCAAAGTGCTGGGATTACAGGTGTGAGCCACCACGCCCAGCCAATTTTTTTGTATTTTTGGTAGAGATGGGGTTTCACCATGTTGCCCAGGCTGGTCTAGAACTCCTTTCCCCTTTGTTAATTTTTGTCGACTTTGTCAAAGATCAGTTGGTTGTAGGTATGTAGCTTTATTTCTCTGTTTTCTATTGTGTTCCATTGATCGATATGTTGATTTTTATAGCAGTACCATGCTGTCTTAGTTAACACAGTAGTACAGTAAAATTTAAAGGCAGGCAATGTGAAACCTCCAGATTTGTCATTTCGCTTGATTTTATTTATCTCCTAAATCTCAAGATATACCTCCTCTAAGAAGCTCTCCCAGGGACCTCTAAGCAGGTTCCACCTTTTCCAAAAGCACTTTCTCTGCCCTCTGTCACACCACAACTTGCTTTGTGTTTAGTTATGGCTATACATGTTTTTCTTCCTCCACTAGTTGATGAGCCCTGCTGAGCACAGTCTATTTCATTTTTCCCAGAGCACCCAGCAAGGTGCTTTATACACAAAGGTGCTCTGTAATAATCTATAGTGTGAAAGATGGTCGGGGCTGGGCATGGTGGTGCACATCTAGAATCTCAGCACTTGGGAGGCCAAGGCAGGAGGATTGCTTTGAGCCTGGGAGTTTGAGACCAGCCTAGACAACATGGTGAAACCCCAACTCTAAAAAAAGAAAAAAAAATTAGCCAGGAATGGTGTCATGTACCTGTAGTCATGTTACCTGTAGCTATTTGGGGGACTGAGGGGAGAGGATCTCTTGAGCCCGAGAGGTTGAGGCTGCAGTGAGCCA